GATTTGTCTGTTTGTTGATTTGTTTGTTTGTTTGTTGATTTGTCTGTTTGTTGATTTGTTTGTTTGTTTGTTGATTCGTTTGTTTGTTGATTTGTTTGTTTGCTGATTTGTTTGTTTGCTGATTTGTCTGTTTGTTGTCACAGAGCATCGAGTGGCCTCTCAGGCACCCCGAGGCGTTGGTGCGTCTGGGCCTGAGCCGGCCTCGTGGCGTCCTGCTGTACGGACCCCCGGGCTGCGCTAAGACCAGTCTGGTCCGAGCTGCTGCTGCGACGTCGTGCTGCAGCTTCCTGTCCGTCAGCGGCRCCGAGCTCTACTCGCCGTACGTCGGAGACTCGGAGAAAGCTTTGTCTCAGGTACTTCCTGTGTTCTTCCTCTGTACTTCCTGTTGGTTTCACCTGTAAACACCTGAGGTTTCCTGCCGCAGCTGTTCCTGCAGGCCCGGGCCTGCGCTCCCTGCATCCTGTTCCTGGACGAGGTCGACTCTCTGATTGGCTCGCGGTCCGAGGGGCAGAACTCTGCAGGTGTTCAGACCCGCCTGCTGTCGGTGCTGCTCAACGAGATGGACGGGATCGGCCTGAGGAGCCTGGAGAGGAGAGGAACAGAGAAGATCCTGCAGGCGGAGGGAGGGGCGGAGCCTGACAGGCAGGAGGAGGTGGGACCTGACCTGAGCTGACCTGTGAGTGGACCAGCTGCTTCTAACTGTGCTTGTTTCCCTGCAGTCGGACCTTCAGGAGGTCTGCAACAAGGAGGTGATGGTCGTTGCTGCCACCAACAGACCCGAGTGTCTGGACAGCGCCCTCCTCAGGCCGGGCCGGCTGGACCACATCATCTACGTCCCCCCACCTGACCAACAGGTAAGTGAGAGCTGTTAGATACTCCAGCAGGTCTTGTTTGGGACCACCTGAGCCAGGGGTCAACAAAACCTGTTACCTGACGGCCCGGGGCAGGTAAACAAGTTTTTATTGTTTTTAGGCTCATTTATTCTAAATGTTGTGAAAATAAATGAAGAAATATAGTTTTAAAACACGTACAGAAAGAATAAATCCTCAACATGTCCTCCTCCGTCCCGCTGCAGTGAAGCTTTAACAACGTAGTTTTTCACCCACAGAGATGATTAAAAGATGTGGACATTAGATCAGACAGTTGTTACGGTCGGTCTCTCCTCTGAGCGCAGAGCACAGGGACAACAGGCGCATGTACGGCAGGCCGATATTGCATTTATTTGAATTTACCACACTTACATTCCAGTTATCTGAAATTGTTTTATGACTAAATTAGACAGATTAGTTATTTAGGATAAAATAATAAAATGTTTTTTTTAAACTTGGAGATCTTTCCAGCTTGAGCTTGTTTGTTTGTTGAAGTTGAATTTTGAAAATAAGGGGCAAATATGATAGTTTTTTTCTTCACTCTGCACGAGGATTTACTTTTTTTTAATGGTGTACATAGATTGTTTTGTTTTTATAAATAAAAGAAGCAAACAAATAGAC